CGTGCGACGATGAAGCGCTTGGCCCGTGCACGTTTACAAAGAACCGGCCTTTGCATCATAAGAATAGACGATCCATTGTTAATTTTTTAGTGTATTGAATAGAGCTTTTTCTTTTTTACAACCCGACTATGGAAAAAAACAATCTTGCACTTTTGGTACAAGCCTCTCAACGCAAATAACCAGAGAATCTTCTGTAATACATGTATGTACTGAGCCCACAGCCACGAGAAATCGCGACGTCACGACACAGTTACAGTAGGACTGTTCGCGAGTCACAACTCCCCGGAAGTTCCCCCCGTTAGCGAGCGGGAGGCAAAGCAAAGTACAAGTCTGCACGCAATCCTCTGGCGCTAGCCGTCCGCTGCTCGCAAGCCTTTGATTAATCGAGCAGACTCCATCTCTAATTAATGCAGGACAATAGGCCAATTGCACATCACTGTGAGCACTCCGGTGGATTGCTCCGTAGCTATCATAATACATGTATGGGCATTGATTTGTGTAAAATATCGTTAACTGATCTGAGATCGCGTTATTTTTAGACTGCCTCTGTGGGTTTTGTTCGGCTGTTGCACACAGATTGTGCCGCTTTATTAATATTTATGTATTACGAAACTCATTCTAAACGTCATCGTTGCTTGGGTCAGCAAATAGAACATTTTTTCTAGTCAGATTACCACCACTGAACATGATTTTTATTACTTGTTGCTTAACAAAGATATCCCTCTGTATACTGTGCAGTCACTTTTGTTGCCTTTCGTTTTCCATAATGGGACCACTATAGCTTTCTTCCAGTCTTCTGGGCATTTCCTCTGCTCCCAGGCTCTTTTACAATTCGCCCCAGCCACAGTACACTGGTGTTTCCACAAGCTCTAATGACTTCCATTGTGATGTCATCTGGTCCTGGGGCTTTGTTCATGGCGCTTCTTTTGAGTGCAGTTTCATTTTTTTCGGGACAGTAGTGGTTCTGCATAATATTATGTTGGTTGGAATTCTTCCTTTTGTCCGAGGAAAATGTCTGGGTTGAGAAGTTCTTAGAAGTAAGTTTCTCATCTTTTAATATTAGCATCCTTGATGAGAAGTCGGTTTGCACGGTTCTTTCCTTACCTGCGTGCTGTTAACACTTTTATAAAACTCTCTAGGGTTTTCAGTGCAAATTTTGGTGCGTTTCTCGCCATATATTATTTTTCATATATTTTCTTTTGCAGTTTTGATAATTCTGTTGGTCGCTCTTCTTGCTTTCCTGTATTCTATATGTAGTCCCCGTCGGTCTTTGATTTCTGCCATCAGCAATCAGTGGAAACACCGTTCGATGTGTCCACCTAAACGACCTGACTCCTCCCGACTATAATCAGGTAGTTATAGTTGCGAATGTCACTAGCAGCATTTTAGTCGGGTCAACCATCTGCCATAAGCTCAGCCATAGCAAGAAAAACATTATAATTATGTATAAGTTTAAATGAAAAAATATAATATCATGTTCGTAACCTGCTCCTTGCAATTTGCACACAGTGCGCACAAACTTCCTGGTTCCTCTGCATGTTAAAAATGTTACTCTTTTTTTTTTTATTGTACGGTGGGGTTTTATTGGGGAGGAGGTGTTGTTCTTGTTGTTGATATGTTTTTGTAATTGTGATTGTTGTTTTATTTTATTTTTTACTGTGTTTACTGTTCTTGTTTTAGCCGGATGCCAACAACTGACGCGAGGTGCAGTTCGTCAGTCGCTCTACTGGCAAAATCGCTGATATAAGTTTTATTTCACTTAAAAGCAACACAACAAAATGCCTTTTATTGGATTTATACACATCGCTGGTACGAAAGAAAAAATAAGATAGGGAATCTTTCTTGAGGGGTGTATTTTGTTTTTCCATGCAGTGAACACAAACTTTGTAACTTAGAGATAGAATTTTTGTTTTTGAAAATAACCCCTTAAAACCCAGCATCTTTGCTTCTCTCCTTCTGATTCAAAAATCATAACCACGACACAGCTAGCCTCGCACTTGGTCTGAAGGCGCCACTGGTACGTCCCACTTCTTTATACTTCCCACTATTGTTTCCATCTGTCTGTCTGTCTTGCTTTTTCCTTAACTCTAAATAAATGACCATTATTGCATCGATGTACGTCTGATTACTCAAACAAATAAGATAAGATAAGATAAGATAAGATAAGATAAGATAAGATAAGATAATACTTTATTATCCCAGAGGGAAATTTTTCTTGGCTGTACAGGACCGTAAAAAAACACTCGCAGGTATACATAAAAAAGCATTAAATTATTATATTATTACTCTCATTTAAATTCAATATGAAAAAAGAAGTAAGGCTGACAAAATGTACATTCACATCAGATGCATTATTCAACCACTAGCAGGAATTTAATTACAAGACCTTTGGAGCTGTAGATACAGGGTGATCCCAAAAAAAACTTTACTACTTGTTTTGTAAATATCTTCCTCCATACTGAAGTTTTGGGTTTCAGATTTGAACATACCGTTTGGAAGCCAAAAGGAATTTGTCTGATATGTATTTTAGATAAGTCCAATGAACGGTTTTGCTGTATAGAGCGCAATAAAAAAAAAAACATTTTCAACCGTGTCGCCATTTTCATAGCATGACGCACCAATTCGCATTAGGCCTACCACTAAAAGTTGCAAAAATCGCGCCATATTGCAAGTTATAGCAGTTTAACAAGTCTACAGAAGTCTGCAGATATTATTTTTCCCAAATGTTGTTTGCCTGCTGAGATCATGGTTACGTTTAGTAAAGAGCATAGAACTTGTTGTATTGACCATTACCTCTCCACAAACTCACCATACCTGACATTTCGTAAGTTCTGCACACGGCATGGAGAGAATGCTTAGGTGCACTCAAGACCTTTGGCGTCATGAGTAGAGAAGTTCCGTCAGTTTGGATCTATAGCGAATCAGAACTAAAAAGTCCTTTAAAAAATGACCACTTCAGGTCGAACACGCACCATGGGCAGAGTGCAAATTTCAGTAGCCGATTCCCATGACACGTCTGTGCGCAAAAGATCTGCAGCTAGGACTTTCCTACACCTCAACAGTCTGAATTCTAATGGCAGATTTTAACCTACGACAATACCGTGTTTATCTTCCCTAGGCCGAGATCACATGGATCAGAGCATGGCAATGTGTTCGTGATTCCTCGATAGTGTTGTAAAGAGGGATCATTTTCTCGATGACATTTGGTTTAGTGCAAAGCCCATTTTCACCCTTCGGGATATGTTGACTCCAAAATGCTGTCTATTGGGCCCCCCACTCTATTGTCTCTAGAACCCACTTCTAGTGTATGTGGCTTTAAAAACTCATGGTTTAGCATGTCCTTGTGTTAGGGCGCCACTGAACATTTCGACTGACGCGTTCAAAATGTGTCGAGTCCAAAGGAGGGAATGTGGAGCACTGCTTCTTGGAATTTCAGAATGAAATCATTTGGTTTTTAAAACTCTGTAAAAGAAATTAAATATTGTTCAAATGCCACAGGGATGGAAAACTAAATCCAAAGAGAAAATAAAGAAAAAGATCAACTAATCTTTTCACGACTTCCTTTACAAGATTTTTAAACATTGGTGAACTTTTGCGTTTTTTGGTGCTTTTTTTCTTTTAGTAGTTTCCGTTTTCAAAACATATTTCTTCTCCGTGGATTTTATATCAAACAAATTCCTTTTGAATGAATTATGTCTGTTCCAAATTACAGCATTCTAGAACAAATTTTGGGCGAGATATTCAGAAAAAAAGTTGTAAAGTTTTTTGGGGATCACCCTGTACATACTCTAAGAGCAACACCCATCTATGTTCATTCTTACAAAAGCCTTATTGCTAGATAGTAAAAAACGTCTTTTATATCTTTCTTTCTTTGTTTTTGAATGTACATATCTGCCGCTGCGTGATCTTACCTTTTGCGTGGAAAGGGGATATGATGGGTCGTTTATAATGCTTTTGCTCTTTTTTATACGTGTGGTGTTATGCATTTCATCAATTCTAGTAAAATTATATCCAGAGATTTTGCTGGCTTTCTTAATTGTTCTGTCAAATTTTTCCTTATCTTTCACCTTACAATTCCCACCCGAGCAGCAAATACAAAACAATAGCACACTTTCAATCATAGAATGGTATAAAAGGGACATAATCTTATTATCAACAAGGAAACTTCTTAATTTCCTTAATAGGAACCTTCTTTGATTTACTGTTTTAAGCACAAGAGCAGCATGGGGATGCCTGTCAAGTTTGTTATCGATTGTTACACCAAGATACTTGTAAGAGCTTACCACCTTCACCTTCTGATCTTTAAATAATAGTGGTTACAATTGGGTTTTTTCTACTCTAAGGTGTATTATTAATTCCTTTGTCTTTTCTTACATTTAGTAAAAGGAAGTGATTATCACACCAATTTGTAAATACATTTACAGCGTCCTTGTATTCATTCTCATTTGTTGTTAGAAGGCCTTCTAGAGTGAAATTCTCTGCAAATGTTATTAGTTTGATGTTTGTGTTATGAAAAGTACAGTCGTTGGCGTAGAGCGTAGACAAGACAAGGGAGATTACTCAACCTTGGGGCGCACCGGTGTTCAAGAATATTAGGTCGGATTTTACACCAAACAAACAAACAAAGCTGGCTTTCCTGATGCCCTCATCCAGTATTAATCAAGTTAAAACAAAGGGTGGACGGCCTACTAGCGCTATTTCATCTATCGGCAAAGCACACTTCACAAGTCGGGTCGTTTCCGGACTGCCTGTTAAAATTGATGGACACGCATGTCAGACTCGACCAGAACAAAAATCTCCCCGACAAGCACCCCCCCCCCCCCCCCAAACAAAAATAATAATAATAACAATAATAATAAATAAAATAATAAATTGGGTCATGTTCAGTTCTGCGTTGGTGAACAGGCGACCGTAGGCTAGCCGGTCAATAAAACGTAAACTTTGGCCTACCTTTTTTGCTCTAATAATAAATAACAGATGTGTGTCATCCAGCAGCTGTCTCAAATTTCTGTTGTGCTTTTCCTTCAATACTCACTTGCTGGTTAGTGATGTTACTAGACATTAGACATGAAGCGTCAGAGTTACGTTGGGTGTTCACAGGACATTCGTTTTTGACTGTGTGTTATACTTGTGTTCGTCTGTGTTATATACCTTTCAGCTGTGTAGTATAGCCTAGGCTACTCTTTATAAACTCGGCAGTAGTATGTTTTGAGTGAAAGCATTTACATAACTGGCGAGGGTTTGTAAATTAACAGAAAGCTTACAGAGAGTTATTCGTAATTGACTTTCCTTTCTTGGAGGTTTTCGACATGTCTGTGTTTGGAGTTCCCCGGTGATAGAACTCCGAAGAACAGCTCCTCAAAGTGCCCTGTGCTGTGATACGCCGAAGACGTGAGTTCGATTCCCTCTTTGAAAGGTGTGTTTTAGCTATTACATGTATCTTCTGTCTCCTGGGGTACGGTACTACTGTCCCACTCAGCCTGTGTGCTGTGGTCGTGAGTTGGATTTCTTCTTGGGCAAGTCTGTGTTATCGATTATCTCCTTCTGTCTGCTTGGATACTTCATCCGACTCACCATGATGTCGGACCTGTCAGCCAGAATCAAAACGGTTCGTCGGCTCGCTTGCTTAATTGGGGTGGGCGGTTGGCGGGTGCTCTGGTGTGGTTTGCTCCTTCTTTTCTATAAAACATCTTTCGTCCATATCTCCCCTCCTTCTTTTCTGTGTCTGTTTCACTCGTGTATCACCTCTGATCTTCGGCAAATATATTATGACCTTATTGTGCTGCAAAACTCTTGCTAAAACTTAACTTATAGTATAATAATATAACCTTATGGTGTTGCAAGTACCGTAAAACTCTTACTAAAACAAGCAAGCTTAGTCGGGTCAATTGGTGTGTAAAACGTATTCGCATGCAACACAATTAGGTCATATAAGTGCCGAAGAATCGAGAGGTTATAGGGGGTGCCCACATACGCGATCGGGTCGGGTCGGGTCGGGTCGGATGGGGCCTACCGGGTCGGGTCGGGTCGGGTGGGGCCTTTCGGGTCGGGTCGCTTTCTTGGGGTTTCAGTGCACACTACAACCCCGTCGCGATTGTACCAGACGATCCAGAAGTTAAAGTAGAGAAACCTTTAACCTACATGCGACTACACAGAGCGCAACGATTGGCTGAACCTTTGACCCATAAATACATAAAATAGGCCAACGATACACTTGGACTTCCCGCATTCCCTCTCTCTGTCTGTCTCTCTCTCTCTCTCTCTCTCTCTCTCTCTCTCTCTCTCTCTCTCTCTCTCTCTCTCTTTCTCTCTCTCTCTCTCTCTCTCTCTCTCTCTCTCTCTGTGTGTGTGTGTGTGTGTGTGTGTGTGTGTGTGTGTTCGCGCGCGCGTGTGGGTGTGTGCTTGCTTTAGTGTCTCTCTCCTTTCTTGTCTATTTTTCACTTCCCATATATCAGAGACCTAGATCTCTGCGTATATCTCTCAAGTTATCTCTCTCCCTCTCACTCTCACCACCCTCCCTCAACAGTGTTCCTCCTCCTTCTTCTTATTCACCTCCTTCTTCCTCTAGGCCCATGAGCGCTCCAAACCCGCTGCGAGAAGTGAGAAGACGGTCAAAGACGTGAGACCGAAACCGGGAATTACCAGAGTACCTACTTAATGTATTCATGGGTCTAAATGGACACGTGACTCAGCCTTGTTGTGATTGGCTGCAAACCAACCGATCGCGCGATTCGCTGTCCAGAAAACAAACGCGTTTGTTTTTGTAGGTCACCAATCGTGTCGATCGGTTTGTGCCACGATGGCCGCTTTGCGCCCTCAATTTGGCTAGCCCTGACTACCCGATGGGCCCAACCCGACCCGACCCAACCCGATCGCATATGTGAGCACCCCCTATTACAAGAGAGTGATAAACACGCAAAAGAAGGAGGGGATACAAGAATGATCGATGTTTGATAGGAAAAAGAGGCAAACCCCACCAGACCACCCGCCAACCACCCAGAATTCTGACTCCGTGATACTAAGAGATACTAAAGGTGCTATACTGTGGTAACTGAGGTCAGGATGGTAAGTCAAGGTTTAAAACGAAGTGTATAATGCAGAGTTCGTGATTTCAAGTGTGTGTCATATTAAGGGCATAAAATGGTGTGGGTAAAATCAAGTTTGTAAAATGAAGTCTGTAATATGCAAAATGTGTGGTACTGAACACGTACTTGGTGTGCAAAAACTAAATTCAATTTGTAAAACCAAGCATGTGATGCGAATACATACTATTTCTTGTGGGGTTGGGGGGGGGGGGGGTTGGGAGGGGGGTTGTTTCTGTTTCTTTTTTACCGCTTATTTTATTTTTGTGCACAACACCAGGTTTGTCAAAGAATGAGTGTACCACTAGGATTGTAGGACTACATTTTTAAAAGTAATTGTGTAAAACTAAGTACCGGGTGATTTTTAAAAAATTACAACTTTTTTCTGAATATATCGCACAAAGATTGTTTTAGAATGCTATAATTTGGAACAGACATAATTCATTTAAAAAGAAATTTGTTTGACATAAAAATCAACAAAGAAGAAACTTATTTTGAAAAAAGGAAATGGCTTAAAGAAAAAAACACACACAAAAACGCCAAGTTCACCAAATTCTTTAAAATCTTGTAATGGAAGTCGTGAAAAGATCGGTAGACTTTTTTCTTTATTTTCTCTTTGAAATTTAATGTTCTATCCCTGTAACATTTAAGCAATATTTACTTTCTTTTACAGAGTTTAAAAACCGAACAATTTCATTCTGGACTGTCTAGATTCGGTGCTTTACCAGTATGTGCCCTCCTTTGGACTCGACACATTTTTAAATTTAAGGCGTCGTTCGAAATGTTCATTGCGCAATTTTCGAGTGAAAAATAATTTTGATAAATATCGTGCACTTTCTTCCTCACTTCCATACACCTGGCGAGATCCAGAAAAGTCACAATCAAGGTTTTGACAGTTTGATGGCCCTTTTCGCAGCCAGTACTCCTCAACAGTCTCATTGTCCGTAGTATCCCACAAGGCTGGGTCTGTGATTTCTTAAATGTCAGTCCACTATTTCACTGCCTTCTGTTGAGGGAACAACGCCATGCTCTAAGCCTATGGTTGGTGTTGCAGCCTTTGAATGCGATTGTGTCGTAGAATCCTGGCTTGCTTTCTTCTCAATGGTGTTTTTGATGAGGAATCCCTTTCTTTAATTGTCATCGAGAAATCTTGATTCTACCAGGATGTAAGCTTAGGGAGTTAATCGATTTTTTCTTTTTCTACTGAAGCCTTTTTACGTTTTTGAGCTCCACTCAAACATGTGCGCTTCATTTTTAATCTGAGAAAAAAAGGAATAAACTACCGTAATTGAAAGTTATGTAAAGTCTGTGAGTCTACTCCAACGGAAAGGAGAACTATAAACACGTCAGATCAGTGCACTACTCGCGAAAGGGTACGGTGCCGTAACTTCTACAGATTAATGATAAAGATGATAAGAATGATAAGGATAATGATGATAATGAAAATGATGATGACGATGATGATGATGATGCATTGAGGTTGATGCTGCATGATGACGATAACAACAACGATGATGACGATTTTTTCCGCAATCTAGAAATTTCGGACGACGTTATGTATCGATCGAAATGACAACATCTAACCCTATAATATTTAAATTTTGCCCTCGCTACAACGCCTGGGGCCTCGGCCGAGTTTGTATACCCAACCCACGCTGGCATATCGATCTAAAAACGTACCTAATCTTGGGAGTCAGGTTCTTTATAGTTTCGAATTTACTATTGCTGTTCTAGTTTACCTGATTAAATCTGTTGAGTTACTAGATCTACTGTAGAAAACCGAAACCACAACATCATTGTGTTAAGATAACCTTTAAAACATTCTTCTTTAATCTAGGTGTGTATTTCTACGGGAAAAAATAATTGTGTTATCATTGTTGTGTTGGGTAGTAGATCTAGATCTAGGCTTTAAAAGATCATGTTATCGGAGTTATGATCTAGGCCTAATCAACTCTCAAGACTTAGAATCCATTAAATCTAGAAATATAAAAGCCATTCATTTCCTTTTAGAAAAGCATTGCGGACTCGGATTGACTTGGAAAAATAAATTACTCACCTCAGGCCAAGCAGTCTCTGTGCTAGGGAGAATCACAATCGTTTAGATAAACATGCTTCAAGGCTTTCAAGGACAGGGGCCACAACAAAACTTTACTATTTTGCCAGATGTTTGTCACACTGAATACCGTACTGTTCAATTTCTTGTCGGTGAGGAAGGCAATATCTAATCTATTTTTCTGCGAATGAGTCTCAAAGCGTCGTGGTTTTGTGTTTTTTGTTGTTGTTGTTTTTTTATCAATTTTAATGTTTTTCTAGCCCCGGGGCCCCAACATTGAACAATATTATGGTTCCATTCACAGCCTCTTGCTATTTTTGTGCAACACCATTGCAGGTACAAATCGATACTGCTGCATCACTAATCACTACCAAGGTCAAACTCATATCAATGAGGTCCCGAATGTTTTGCAAAACCTCCTTTAAAATGGAAGGCTAACACTAAACGAAAAATTACTAGGCAATTGGACTCTCTCTTTCTCTCTCTCTCTCTCTCTCTCTCTCTCTCTCTCTCTCTCTCTCTCTCTCTCCCTCTCTCTCTCTCTCTCTCTCTCTCTCTCTCTCTCTCTCTCTCACTCTCTCACCCTCTCTCTCTCTCTCTCTCTCTCTAGGGGACTTCTCAAGTCCCGCCCCCCCCCCCCTAGAGCCCGGGGCCCTGGCAACTGCCCATAGTTCCCAGCGGGTAAGACGGCCTGCACGTACATTGTACATTTTCAGTTTGAAGTGGCTTCTAGAGACAATAGTCAGTGGGGTGCCCAATAGACCTGTCCCCGTTGGATTATGATATTGTGCGGCCGCAGCGCGCCCGTGGTTTTTTTTTAGGGCATAATTCTGTAACACTTGCTTAATTTTGGATTCCCCGCGTTTTATCACGTTTTTTAATGTAAAAAATTCTCAAAACAATATTTAATGCTTCGCCATGTGACTAAAGGGAAGTAATCGGAGTAATAAGTCTCTTTTAAGTGACAAATTGGTTATTTCCCTTGTTAGGGGTTTTTGTTAATTTAGTCTGTTCAATTTTTTAATCCGTCAAAAGTTGTTCTCATGTCTGCTGATATTTCATGAATGACAGGAGTCCCTGGGTTTAGTGTGATGTGCCAACGTCAGAGGTCCAGAAGTCCTTTTTTTATTTTTAAATTTACAAATTTGTAAAAATCAGTTTTCTTTCCTTTATCCAGCTGAAAGTTGAAAGTTACAGAGATAATATTTTTGGGTTGTTCCTTTTTCTGACTGATGGGTATCTTTCCAAATACACAAAAAACTACTGATACTGATATGTTCT